AAATTTGACATTTTGTTAATTTTATCTTCAAATTTTGGGGCATAGTTGTCTTTATAATTATATTAAGCCCCTATTTGGCATCGATTAAAATCCAGATTTTAATTTCAGTTAAAATCAACAATAATTTTAATCACATATTTTAATTTTTATGGGTTCCAAAACTTTAAGTCCACATATTTAATCTACTTCTATCAAAATATATTAAAATTTTGATTTTAGGGATGGTTTGAACCCTATTTTTCTCAAAATAATAATAATAATAATAATAATAATAATAATAATAATAATAATAATAATAATAATAATAATAATAATAATAATAATTTCGAAATAATGTTACGATGAAGAATGTGTGGTTAAAAAATAAGGAAATATTTTGGATTTGAGTGTAATATTATTTTATTGAGAAATGTATGATTGAAATAATATCAAATCAATGTTGAAAAATGTATTTTGATGAAAATGGAGTTCAAACAAAGGCTTAATCTTCATCAAACAAGCTAAAACTCTATACAAGGAGACTCAAAATATAGGGCCCCAATTTGAAATTAGTATAAGGCCCCCAAAATATTAGGACCGTCTCTGTCTAAATCAAAAACTACACAAATTTGACTTAAGTAGGAAATTAATTAAGGAATAAACATAATCTAACACAAAATATTGTTAATTTTAATCTACTTAGAGTATCTTCCATTCTTATTTTCATTACCCATTATTTCTCTTCGGTTAAGAGAGCTTAACTTCGATGCCAAGGAGGTGATCTTCCCCAATCAAGTATCGAATAATGTGTTCTTGATATCAACAAACTATACAACTTATCCACAAATTTATCAACTGAATCTCCATAGCACAAAGGACAAACACGGTAGACTGATATACAGAAATAAAGGATTAGAACACCAATGTCTCATATGAGCTACATATTCAAGCCACCAATAAGGTTTATATATATCGAAAATAGAATTTTAATCAAGTGCAATAGTCAACATTTTAGTTTCAAATGACTGGTTAAGAATTTATTCTTTAACGTTTAGAAGATACTTGATATAGGTTGATAGAGGAAATCACCCTCGACGGCAAGCAAGATGGATCACGGCACTTCGACGTGAGGTCGTCGATGCCCCCTTAGGGGCGCTCTACCACTACGCGAAGTCATCGACCCCCCTGGGGGCGCTCTACCACTACGCGAAGTGATTGACCCCCCCCTAAAGGCGCTCTACCACCACGTGAGGTCTACAACTGGAATGGGACTACCTGTCCAAACACTTAGCCATAAAATTCCTAGTGAATTAATTAGATTCCATAGATGCTAAATACGAGAACAATCCCCAGGCGGGAAATTAGAGATCCCCCACTCAGAACGTGGGCATAGTGGGAACGCCAATGTGGGACACGTGGCACCACATCCGCCCAGTGGTTATCCGACCCCTAACGCCTATAAATACCTCCGGACGCAGCACAGGTAAAGGGCTCTTTTTTTTGATCTATTTTGTTCTCCCTTGAAATTTCAATCATATTTTTCAAGCCTATAAACTAATTCTCACACCGGAGGTAAAACGGGGGAGGAAGCCCCGCCTTCACTTTTCAGGTCATATATACCGGACGGAGTAGACGAAACGCCCAGCACAATCAGGCAAATAGGAAGGTGTTGATCATCCACTATTTCATTGGCGCCGTCTGTGGGAAACGATTAGAACTAAAGAGCCATGCCAAGAAGACGAACAAGGAGTGATACTCGCCTGGTTGAGAATACGGCGGAGTCGGAGTCAGTTGCAGGGGGACGTGAGCCGCCGCCACCCCCGTAATATGTGACGCAGAGTTAATTCAGTGCTTTGGAGACCCAGTTGACAGCAATGATTGCACTCCTACAGGACCAGTCACAGAGAGCCGCTGTCCCTCCATTGAGCCCGACGGAAGTGACGAGCCAGCAACCGCCTCAAGCACCACCCGCGATCGCCCCGCCCATCTCTTTGCGGGGGGCGGGAGATGCGGAAGCCCTAGGGATCGAAGCTCAACAGCCCCTGCAAACCATGGTAAACCTGGAACAAAAGATGGAAGAAATCATGGCCCAGAAGATAGATGATGCCTTGTCCAAGAGAAAAGATAGACGAAGACAGATGGTTTTGGAGGAAGGCCCGTTCGCACCAGAAATCATGGCTGTCCCCCTGCCTAAAGGTTTCAAACAGCCTATGATAGAAGCGTATGACGGAGTCACGGACCCGCTTGACCACTTACGAACCTTCGTAGATCTGATGAGACTTTACGCTGCTCCGGACGCAGTGATGTGCCGATCCTTTCCCCCCACGCTCAGGAGGAAGGCTAGGGACTGGGTAATGACCTTGGCCTTGCGATCCATCAAATCATTTGATGAGCTCTCCAGGAGCTTTGTAGCTTACTTCCTAAGCAGCAAGAGAAACAGGAAGACAGCCATTGGGTTGATGTAGGTCGTACAGGACAAGGACGAGTCATTGCAGGAATACTTGGCTAGGTTCAGCCGGGCAACTCTCGGCATAAGAGACCTGCAAATGTCCGCAGTGGTTACCGCCTTGATGAATGGAACGTGAAATCGGGCCTTTAAGATGTCACTCTCCAAGAACCCCCCAGAATCGATGCACGACCTATTGAGGAAGGGGGACAAGTATGTCGATGCAGAGGAAGTAGAGAAGATAACTAAAAATCTCAGGGACGAAAGGGAGGCGGAAGTTCATAAGCGAAAAACATATGACAAGCAAAGGCACACTGATAAGAACAAGCCGAAGAATGAACGCATAAACAAGGGATATGCCCAAGATCGGCCGGTCAAGCAGAAGCGAGAGGAGGTCAAGACACCCACCCCTTTGAGCATTCCACGTACAAAGTTATTGATGAAGATACAACACATGAGAGAGCTCGAATGGCCTAAACCGATGCCAACTCCTTCCGGCAAGAGAAATCAAAGTAAATATTGCCATTTTCATAGAGATCACGGGCATGATACCGAAGAATGCCTACAGTTAAAGGAAGAAATTGAGCGCCTGCTAAGAAGGGGACTATTGGCTAAGTATGTGAAAAATGACAAGGGCAAGCAAAGGCTCGAAGGTCTACCCCCACCTAGGGCAGGAGTGATAAACATGATCATCGGAGGAATAGCATCAGGCGGCGACTCAAATTTGGCTAGAAAGAGCTATGCGCGTTCTGTAGGGGTCTGCTCTATTCAGAAAAAGCGAGATTCAACCAGAGCATTACTTTCGATAAAGAGGACTTGATTGGTATAACGCACCCCCATGATGACGCCTTAGTAATAGTAGGCAACATAGCGGATTTTGACGTGAAAAGGGTGTTAGTCGACGGAGGAAGTGTGGCAAATGTCCTCACCTGGGATGCCTTCTTGGGTCTAAAAGTTCCCCAAGAGAAATTGAAGATGGTGACTACCCCCATACAAGGCTTTGGAGGGGCAACAGTGATACCGGAGGGGACTGTGGAACTTTCAGTCACGCTGGGGACATATCCGGCAACAGTGGTCATCATGACTAATTTCTTGGTTGTCAAGACTTCCCATGGCCTACAACGCTATCTACGGCCGACCATTACTAAATGCAACTGGCGCAGTCCCATCGACCTACCATCAAGTTATGAAGTTTCCAACTAGTAGGGGAATCGGATGCGTGTGAGGGGACCAGCAGGCATCGAGAAAGTGCTATGTGGACAGTATACAAGCCAAAGGCTCACCATCGGTCATGATGCTCGATGTGAAACTCCCGAGGGAGCAGATCAAACCGCTCGATATGATTGAAAAAATCTTTGTAGCCGAAGGACGAGAGTTTAGTGTTGGAACAGGTTTGGGATCCGAAGAGAAAGAAAAATTGGCAAGGTGTCTCGCTGATAACTTGGATGTCTTCGCTTGGAGCCCAGAGGATATCCCAGGAATTAGCCCGACCGTTGTGCAGCACTGCCTCGGTGTCTAGCCGGAGGCTAAACCAATGAAACAGAAAAAAAGAAATCTCGCTCCTGAGAGGCAGGCTGCGGCCAGAGCTAAGGTAGAAAAATTGCTACAGTCGGGTTTCATCCGAGAAGTGCAGTACCCCGAATGGTTGGCAAACATCGTACTTGTGAAGAAGTCAAACGAAAAGTGGCGCATGTGTGTAGATTATACTGGGCTGAATAAGGTGTGCCCAAAAGATTCATACCCGCTTCCCAGAATAGATCAACTGGTAGATGCAACCTCAAGACACGGAAGGCTCAGCTTCCTACATGCATTCTCGGGATATCATCAAATTTCAATGGCCGAGTCCGACCAAGAGAAGACGTCATTTATCACTGACTTTGGCACGTACCGTTACACGGCTATGCCGTTTGGTTTGAAAAACGCAAGGGCGACGTATTAGAGAATGGTAAACAAAGTCTTCCGCAAGCTGATTGGAGATGTTGTAGAAGTCTATGTTGACGATATGGTGGTCAAGAGCGCCAAAGCTGATGACCATGTGGCCAGCTTGCAGAAAGTGTTTGACGTTGCCCGACAAAATAGGTTAAGGTTCAATCCAGAGAAATGTGTTTTTGGCACTACGGGGGGAAAATTCCTAGGATTCATGATCACGCAAAGGAGGATCGAAGTAAACCCGGACAAAATTCAGGCGATCCTAGAAATGAAAAGTCCCATCAGCAGGAAGGAAGTCCAGAGGTTGACAGGGCGGGTGGCCGCCTTAAATCGTTTCATGAGCCGGGCAGCAGACAAATGCTACCACTTTTTCAAAGCTATAGGGGGCTTCTCCAACTTCGAATGGACCTAGGAATGTGAAGAATCACTCAGAAGCTTGAAACAGTCATTATAAGAGCCCTCGATCTTGACCAACCCCTGCCCCGAGGATGTGTTGTGTCTCTACTTGGCAGTCTCACCAAGGGCAGTCAGCGCGGTGCTAGTGAAAGAGTTCTCAAAGGCGCAAAAACCAGTCTACTATGTGAGCCAAGTATTAAGGGGCGCGGAAGAAAGATACAGCCTGGCTGAATAGCTGGTGTTAGCATTGATGGTAGCGGTTAGAAAGCTGAGGCCTTACTTTCAGTCTCATACGGTACAAGTAATGACCGACCAACCTATCAAGCAGATCCTATATCGGCCCGAGACCTCTGGAAGAATGTTGAAATGGGCAATCGAGTTAAGTGAGTTTGATACTTAATTCAGGCCAAGGACGGCTATTAAGGCACAAGCTCTAGCAGACTTCATCATTGAACTCACCCTTCTGCCAAAGCACCTACCAGGGAAACATGCAGATTGGAAAATTTTTGTCGATGGATCTTCGAACGACGAAGGATCCGGGGCCAGGATCATAATGATAGGTCCGAATGGGGAAGAATTGGAATATTCGTTGCGTTTTGAATTCCCAACTACAAATAACGATGCCGAGTACGAGGCAGTGATCACGGGTTTAAGATTGGCAGCTAGACTTGGGATATCATCAGCAGAAATTTGCAGCGACTCTCGATTGATAATCGGGCAAGTGACGGGGGAGTTCGAAGAAAAAGGCGGAAAGATGGCAGCATATTTAATGGAGGTCAAAAACTTGCAGAAGGGGTTCACCAGATTTAAGATAACTAAGGTTCCGCGAAAGGACAATGAGCGGGCGGACGCGCTGGCCAAACTCACATCCGCTAACCCCAGACGTCTGCCTCGCACAGCAAGCGTGCAAATTCTGCGGCAACATAGCATCCCACACACGACCGATGTCATGAATATAGAGCACGAGAAGAGTTGGATGGACCCGCTGTTTGAATATCTAACAAAGAATAAATTGCCGGAAGATGCTTTCACGGCGAGAAGGCTAAAAATTCGGGCAGCCTCGTTTGCCGTCATCGATGGACTGCTCTACAAACGAGGTTTCACGATGCCATATTTGAAGTGTTTGCGACCAACAGAGGCACAGGAGGTGCTAGTCGAGGTACATATGAAAATTTGTGGCAACCACCAAGGGGCCGCTTCCCTTGCGTTCAAGACGCTTCGACAAGGATATTATTGGCCTAGTATGAAGGAAGATGCTAAGGATTTGGTTAGGAAATGCAATGCATGTCAACGCCATGGAAATTTGATCCACATTCCTGCCAAGCAACAGACGGCAATTTTCGGGGTGTGCCCTTTCTTTCAATGGGGGATGGACATCTCGGGACCTTTGTCCCTAGCCAAGGGACAAAGGAAGTTCTTGCTAGTCGCCGTAGACTACTTTACTAAGTGGGTGGAGGCTGAACCCTTGGCCACCATCACGACTACAAAGGTACAAGGATTTTTCTGGAAGAATATCATATGCAGGTTTGGCATACCCAGAGTAATCATTACTGATAATGGAAAACAATTCGATAATCATAGTTTTCGAGCCTTCTGCACAAGTTACCACATCGACCACAGGCTAACTTCAGTTGCTCACCCATAGGCGAATGGGCAGGTTGAAGTGACTAACCGAACCATACTATGGGATCTGAAGACGAGGCTGGAAAAGGAGAAAGGGCTTTGGGCGGAGGAATTGCCCAATGTACTGTGGGCATATCACACAACTCCCCGAGAGTCGACCGGGGAGACGCCATTCAAGTTAGCTTTTGGGATGGAAGCCGTGATTCCGGTTGAGATATTAAGCGAGACGGGAAGGATGAAAGTCAAGCAACACGATGAAGCAGCGACTAGAGGAGAACTCGACCTCCTTGAAGGGATAAGGGATAAGGCAGCAATAAGAATGATGGCTTACAAACGGAGAGCCGCCGAGTACTTCAATAGGAAAGTCAAGCCAAGGGTCTTCCAGCCAGGAGATCTCGTGCTAAGGGATGCAGCAGCAGCAGGACACCCCCCACCAAAGCTTGGTCCAAACTGGGAAGGCCCGTACGAGGTAATCCGCGGGCTGGGAAAGGGAGCTTACAGTTTGAAAGATATGAAAGGAAGACCGCTAGGTAGACCGTGGAACGCGAAACACCTCAAAAAGTATTATCAGTAGGTTTCGAAATGTACGCACATGCAACACTTTTGTAAATACAGTCGACTAGGTTGCATCGTTTATTTTCTCCATGTAATGCCTCATGAAGGCACCTTTATTTGTAACATTTGTTATTCAATGAAAGACCTTGGCGGTGACGGATGATGAGGGCGTTAAGGAAGGGCCAGCCTAGTTGGGATGTCCCGGTGCACCTACTGAGCTCACGAGGCCAAGAATTTTTTATGCTAACAGGCAACTTTAAAATCCACGCTCATCCCACGAAGACATGAGATCGACATAGCCTACGCAGCAAGGCAGAGAGCCTTAAAAAGTCAAAAAATTGGCTAAAACCCTTAATTGCCAGACCACCCCCCGTTGGTTGACATGGCCTACACGGCAAGGCAGAGAGCCTTAAAAAGTCGAAAAATTAGTTAAGGCCCTTAACTGCCAGACCACCCCCCGTTGGTCGACATGGCCTACGCGGCAAGGTAAAGAGCCTTAAAAAGTCAAAAAATTGGATAAGGCCCTTAACTGCCAGACCACCCCCTGTGGTCGACATAGCCTATGCGGCAAGGCAGAGAGTCTTAAAAAGTCAAAAAATTGGCTAAGACCCTTAACTGCCAGACCACCCCTCGTTGGTCAACATGGCCTACGCGGCAAGGCAGAGAGCCTTAAAAGTCAAAAAATTGGCTAAGACCCTTAACTGCCAGACCACCCCCCGTTGGTCGACATGGCCTACGCGGCAAGGTAAAGAGCCTTAAAAAGTCAAAAAATTGGCTAAGGCCCTTAACTGCCAAACCACCCCCCATTGGTCGACATGGCCTACGCGACAAGGCAGAGAGCCTTAAAAAGTCAAAAAATTGGTTAAGACCCTTAATTGCCAAACCACCCCCTGTGGTCGACATGGTCTACGCGGCAAGGCAGAGAGTCTTAAAAAGTCAAAAAATTGGCTAAGGCCATTAACTGCCAAACCACCCCCTGTGGTCGACATAGCCTATGCGGCAAGGCAGAGAGTCTTAAAAAGTCAAAAAATTGGCTAAAGCCCTTAACTGCAAACCATCCCCTACGGTCGACAAAGCCTACACAACTAGTCGAAGAATCATGAAGTATCAAAAAGTTGGTTAAGGTCCTAAACCGCTGGACCCTTCTACCTGTGGACGACATAGCCTGCTTCTTAAGCACAAGATAACATAAGGCTAAATTTGGCTAAGGCCATCGACCACTAGACGCTAGTCAAAAAAAAATATACACACACACACACACACACACACACACATTAACACCCCGCACCAACAAGCGGTAAAACGAAAAATAACACAAGAAACAACGATTTGAAAGAATCATGCACTCAACACTAATGATATCGAATGAAAAACGTGTTCATACATCCGAGAAATTATGGCCCACACCCCGAGCAAGTAGGAGAAAACAAGACTAAACAAGAGTAAACATAGAAAAGGAAAAGCTAGCAAAGAAAATAACAATTAAGAAATGCTTCAACCCAAGGGGGAGAGATCCCCACTATCGCCTCGTGATGAACGACCAAGTGACTTGGACGATTGAGCTGCACTCTCCTTTCCCTTGCGCTGCGCAAGAAATCTATCCATGCTAGAGGGGTCTATAGAAGGATGCTCGGCCATGATCCACTCCTTGGAGAATTTGATAGACGCTGACATTGCCTTCCCCCCATATGAATTCAAAGCCCTAGCGTAATCAGACGACGTCTTATACTGTTCCACAGATGCCTTGAGGTCACTAGCATATTCAGCTAAGGCCTTATACTTCTCAATCGCCTCCTCAGAAGCATGAGCCAAAACAGAACGTAGGTTGTCGTTCTCCGTCTCCTGCTCGCGAGCTCGAGCGTCCGACGCCTCCAGAGATTTCTTCAAGAAAGATATTTTTTTCTTGTAGTGATGAGCCTCTTTTTTCTTTTCTTCAGTAAGATTTTTCAGCTCCAAGACCAGGCGGCGATTCGATTCTGCGAGTCCAGTTTGGAGGGCCACCACCTAAAAAAAAAAAAAGAGAGAGGGAGAAAAGGTGAAATCAAGTATTAAAACCCAGTTTAAAAGGCGAAACTCAACATGAAAGAAATTATGAAATGGGAAACATACCCTCTGGAGATAAACAGCCGAAGCCCTTTCAATGTCATCTGCACTGCACCCTGCAATTGCTCTAGAACGAGCAGGTGTTACCAAAGACTTTAGCACCTCCATCTCATGATAACCCCGGGTGGGAGGAAACCCAAAGTTAGGGAGCGAGTCCTCGCGCTCACAACGTGTGCGACTGGGAGCTCCCGACTTAGGAACTGGAGCCACCTCACAAGGTTTGTCTGAAGGCTGGGAAGCCTCGTTGATCATCCGAGATTTCTCCCCTGAGTCAGCCGCCCTTTTTCTCTTCGAAGGGATAGGTGATGGATCCGACTCACCCTCCACCTCACCCTCCAGCCCATGGACAGGCATGAAATCCATAACCCCTTCAAAATTAAGCTCTGCCCCTGCACATATAAGTTGGAATCCGTTGAGGTCACAAGGTAGCAAAAAAAAAAAAAATTGAAGGGGGGAGGATGGAAAAAGTGAGCACAAGAGCTAACCATCAACAAAGGCATGCCTCTCATCGCCTCCTGGCAAAGTCTTCAATACCCCCATCAAGATCAAAGTCTATACCTGAATACATACATCCAAACTCATTAGTCCCGACAAACTAAGAGCAAAAATAATAAGTAAATGTGTGTGCATGCAATATAAAAAAAAAAAAAACAGCGGAAACAACCTACCGGTAGGACGACACATCCCCACTATCAACATGTTCTTCATAGTCAGAACTGATTCTAAGTCAGGTGCATAAGGCGGTACATCAACCAACTCTTGAATTTGAGCTTCTAGAAAGGGGGTAACCTCTACTTGGCTATTGAAAAGATGAATTTGAGGGTGTCGCCAATTGGTGTTAAAAGAGAATTGACCCGTTGAAGGCCGGACAAAGAAGAATCGAGACTTCCATCCGCTATTCGAATTTCTAAAATTAAGAAATTGCAAAGGAACCCTAGTGGTAAAATAGACAAATGCATTACACTGAACTAGCTCATGCATTTCGAAGACACACCTGAAAAGATCCATGGAAAGCGAAATTCTCCATTTAAGACAGACATATAGAAAATATAACGCTTTTCTCCACGTATTAGGGTTAATCTGACTAGGAGTAAGGTGGAACTCGTTGAAAATTGACACAAAAAAGGGATGAATGGGAAATCGAAGACCCCCGTCCATAACGTCCTTGTACACGGCTATCTCACGGGGGTCGGACCTGGGGAGTCTTTCTTTAGGACCGGGGGCTCTATAAACGTAGTCATCCACCCGGTCATACTTACATAGACATTTCTCCAACTTAAGTGGTGAATTGTAAAGACTATAACCTTTTGGAATATCCATGGGGACAACCTCACCAGCCGGGTCTTGCCCAGCTTCTAAATTTTGATTTGGAAATTTGGAAGAACTAATGTGCTTTTTCGGAGGATTTGGAACAAACGCTTGAGAATCAATTGAATGAGTTTCACCATCAATATTATGAAGAGATATACCAGATGAAGGAGGCGAATCACTAGAGGGCCGAATCGATAGACTAGGTAGGCTGCAAGACTTAGGAGAGGGCGGGGGACGACCAGCCTTCGGGCTGGTCGACCGTCAACCAGCCTCGATGGTCGGTCGACCAGCCTCGCCGATCGCCAACTGGCCCCCCCGTGGGTCAATTGGATCCCCTCCCACACCCTCCGACAAAAGTCCGGTCGAGTCACTATACCCATCACTTTTCTCATTGGAAGGAGAAGAAAGAATTGTTTTATACATGACAACAAAGAAGGTGAAGAGAAGAAAATTCAAAACAAGACTTTGGATTAAAAGAAGAGAGAAAATTACCTTAGAAGGGAGGAGGCCTATGATGTTGAGTGAAAGTGAAAGTGATTCTCAATAATAGGAATTACCCCCTTTTTTTATAAACACAAGAATTTTAACTTTTGGAGGGAATTTTCCCTCCAATATTGGGGCCATTGGTGGGGTGTCATGTGTGCAGTAAAATTACCACTCGATCGCGTTTACGTTGTTCGATTTATTAATACGAACTACTCCTTTGTTATATATTTAAAAAAAAGGGTGGGGAAGAGGAAAATTTTCAAACCAACCAAAATAAAGAAAATTGCTACCCCTTGTTGAAAATATCGACAAGGGGTAGGGGCTAATGATATATGTTGATAGAGGAAACCACCCTCGACGGCAAGCAAGATGGATCACGGCACTTCGACGCGAGGTCGTCGACCCCCCTAGGGGCGCTCTACCACTACGCGAAGTCATCGACCCCCTGGGGACGTTCTACCACTACGCGAAGTGATCGACCCCTCCTAAAGGCGCTCTACCACCACGCGAGGTCTACAACTGGAATGGGACTACCTGTCCAAACACTTAGCCATAAAATTCCTAGTGAATTAACTAGATTCCATAGATGCTAAATACGAGAACAATCCCCAGACGGGAAACTAGAGATCCCCCACTCAGAACGTGGGCATAGTGGGAACGCCAACGTGGGACACGTGGCACCACATCCGCCCAGCAGTTATCCGACCCCTAACGCCTATAAATACCTCCGGACGCAACACAGGTAAATGATTCTTTTTTTTTGATCTATTTTGTTCTCCCTTGAAATTTCAATCATATTTTTCAAGCTTATAAACTAATTCTCACACCGGAGGTAAAACGGGGGAGGAAGCCCGGCCTTCACTTTTCAGGTCATATATATCAGACGAAGTAGACGAAACGCCCAGCACAATCAGGCAAATAGGAAGGTGTTGATCAACCACCATTTCAATACTCGTTTTTATCAATCATAATGGATGTCTTGCAAGTAACGCTCTGTTGTTTGATCTTCCACCGGAGCATTATATCACGTCTTGGTAACTCTACTCCATGAAATATCATTTGGTTCAAATCCACGCTCCATGAACTCGGCGTAAATGAGTAACCTATGCTGGTTATCTACCATGTTAATGTTTATACAACATGTTTTCACTGTAATCCAGTTTGAAGCATATTGATATCGATGTTTATTATGTGAGATACATAGTCCAACAAATAGATTTTGCATATCTCATGTTGCGTCTCTAAAGCAACTTACCGAATCCCTACTAATATGCTATCTTCACCTTTCACTTTAGTCCAATATTGATATCTCTGATGAGACCATAATTTGACAGGACATTTTAATAATAGCATTTTGAAATATATCATATCCCTATATTGTATGTCATAGTTGAATTAAAAGAGGACTTGTTAAGTTCTCTATAAATATGTTTGATCAATTGAAATAAAGCAAGTTGCTTCTATTCTTCTTCGTGTCTTACAAATATCTAACAATACTAAATAATTGATATAATACCCCAACACTTCGAATGGTTACACACCCGTGGAACTCATGGGAAGACCATTCATTGACTTGCCATAGGTTGGCCATTATTATTTTTCAAATTAATTTTTCCTATTACTATTTTAATTCTTTTTATATATTCGATTTTATCATAGTTTTAATTCAATTTTAAACTATAATTTTTATTTTTAATTTTGCTTAAACTTTTATATAGATTTAAAGGTCCCAATCTCTCATTTATTTAAGAACTGATATTACTTTTTAAAAGAAAGTGATATAGATTAAGATTAAGATAATATTTTTAACTGATTTAATTTCAACAAATATTTCACTAGAAGTTACAAGAACTAAGTTGGAGTAATTAGTAAAAAAAATAAAAAAATCTAATCAATCTCAAGTAAAATGACTTTGATAAACAATTTTATACAAAATGTGCTAGTGGGAAGTTAAGTTTCTATTAAATTATCACGTGTCTTAATTTATAAAGTTAGATTGCCTTTTTCGACTTAGCAGCGTCTGCTCGAAAGTTCAGAGCAAAATATATTTTTGTTAGAATTACAAGACAATTTAATGAAGAAATAAATAACTTTTACCAATAGAAATTAACTATTTAATTATAATAAAATAATTTGATGTTGATTACTCCTTTTCATTTATTGGTGAAAAGTGTCCTTGAGTTCAATTATTTTCTCCCTTTGTGGTTGCCAAAATAAACCTTGCTCTATGGTTTCAGACTGGTGATCAAGGAGTATCCCCCTCAACAAATTTTACAATATTTGATATGTCAAAATCAATATTTTTTTATTTCCAAAAAACCCTTACTGTATTGAGCCCGAATCATTTTTGTCCTGCATCAAATTTTATCTCATCGCGTACCTATGAATACATTTTACTGTAATTTATGAATATCTACCACCACCATTGGATCATCAAAATTATTGAATAGGGCTGCAACCATATGTACGTAGCTCACGATGGACCAGTGTATTATGACCAGGCCGACTTTTCTCCCGTGTCAAGCACCAGAGCCAAGGGTTAGCAACTGCATCCACTTGATCGGAACATTTATCTGGAAAAATCTTACACTTGACCTCCCATTTTTCCAAGTAAGTCATACAATTATTTTCTAGGAAAATGTCAAAGTGCCCAAATTTTGATGACCGAATGGATGATCGACCCTCACATGGAGCGTGAATCCCGCGTGAATAAAATAATGCCCGACCCCCCAAGGTGTGAGTGTTTGATCATCCCGCATGTCAACAATTATGTTTGTGTAGCATGATCTTATTTTCCAAGGCAACTCATAAATTAGATCGGAGTGTTTACCAAGACATCCAAGCAATTACAACATGGAGGCATCATCTTAGTTTCGTGGTAGCATCGCAACCAAATCTTGGAGATGATTGCCTTGTATCGCTTTCAACAAGAGACATGCATCCTATTTAACCACTTAAATTTATCGGTAAATAGGAATTATCGTACAACAAAGAAGACTTCTAGAGAATATCTATCCTCACTCTTGACACATATCTTTGTGAACACGCACCTTGTAAATATGATATTCATATATAGCTGGTCGGAATTGATACTCCAACCTGATAGAACAGATTTTACACAACCTGATCTAGAGCTTGTTTGGGAGTGATTTTGAGAATTGATTTTTTGATCGTTAGGAGAAATGTGAGGTTCACGTGTGAGAGAAGAAGTCAAATATAACGGCTGAAATAATGAAATATGGTCAAAAAATTAATTTTTGGGGGGCAAAAAATCGCTCCCAAACAAGCTACTATAAAAATTCATTCTCCAAAAAATTAAAGAGGTGTTTGATAGACATTTTTATGTAAAAATGTATTTTAGAAAAGTAAATTGATGTGAAATGTGTGGTTAAAAAATAAGAAATTTTTTTGATTTGAGTGTAATTATATTTTAATAAAAAATGTGTGGTTGAAAAAAAGAGAGAGAAAAATGCATTTTGAAGAAAATGGCTACCAAACGGTCTATAAATTTCAATTTATTCATATGTTCAGAGAGACCATATTATTTGGAGGGTAAAAATGGAAAGCAAATAAGGTCCCAAGAAAACCAATGGTCTGTGACTGTGAAGATGTTTTGGTTTAGTTTTAAAGTCCCATCAATTAGTGAATAAAAAACAGATGTAACGTATCACTGACAATTTACAGAGGGGCGATTATGGCAGAATAATGTCCAGTCCCTATCGAATTCGTCTCTTTGTGCCGTGAAACCCGGACTACAGTCCCCACTTCATAATCATGACTGGATAGATGACGATTGCAAAAGACGACCGCTCTTATGTGATGTGACTGTCACTCTATATCTGCTCACAGATTAATAGTCTTTACTAAGTTTAGAGCACAAGATGGGAATCTGTATGCAACTCTAATGCTCTTGGCTCATGGAATTTTTTGTGGGTTCGTCTCAGAATTACATAAAAATGATGACTTTGATTGGAATCTCTAATTACGACTAGGGGTGGGCGCAGGTCGGTTCGGTTCGGTTCTCTTTAGAACCGAACCGAACCAAACTTTTCGGGTATCTAGTAAATGGAACCGTCGGGTCCAAATATAATTATAGAACCGTTCGGGTTCGGTTCCATTCGGTTCGGTTCGGATCGGTTCCGTTCGGTTCTGTACTATAATTAAATTTTTTAACATTTATAACAACGTTATATAAATACGACTAATGATACATTCAATAGTTTAGGAATGTCAGAGATTAGTAAACTACCTTGTTCAAATGATCGCTACGATCAAAGCTTCAGTCGGGGAAAGTCACGGCTTCCGTCGGAGGTCAGAGTGTCGGCCGACGATTGTATAGGTTTTGGAATATTAGATAGGCTGCGAGAGTGAGTGCGAGAGTCGAGACAACGTTATGCACTTTATTGTAGGTGTTTAGGGTTATTTAGTGGATTTGATCTTGTTTGGCTAAGAAATGAAACAATAAAATGGGTAATTGGGCCAAAAATTAAAAAATTAGAAATGAAACAAATTATTGGGCCAAAAATTTGGATTTAGAAATCATTAATTTGTTAATTTGTTTAGAAAAAGTTAAAATTAAAATAATTTGATTTACTTAATATAAAAAAAATTAGAAAGATTCGGTTCTTATTCGGTTCTTTGGTTCTTGGTCTAGAACCGAGAACCGAACCGTACCCGTCGGTTCTCAATTCAGATACCCGTTCGGGTATTTAATTTGACAAGAACCGTCGGGTTCGGATCGGTTCGGTTCGGGATCGGTTCGGTCGGTTCGGTTCGGGAGATTTGCCCAGCCCTAATTACGACTATTCAAATACCTTCTTGTTTCAAGCTCTATTTTTCCATGCTACACTTACATTCACTTTTTTATCTAATTTTTTACCTATACTTACAATAGGAGGACGGAATCCACGGTTTGGAATTTTTAAATGTACGTGGAACCGTGCGCACGTGAGAGTAGGGCATCCATTGGATCATCAAAATTTGGTACATATAGTTTAATTCTTTTAAGAATGAACTGTCTAATAATACTGTGGAGTTGGTTTAGCTGCACAAAGTTTACAGTCTCGAAAGGTGAAGGGTGTGGCAGTGTAGTCACGTCGATGTACAGTTTGCAGAAAATGGGAAAATTAATCAGAGAAAAAAGAAAAAGTAAGCAGTGAAATATCACATTTTGCTATGATATCATGACAGTTGCATTATTCATGTCTCGTATTCTTGATTCTTCCCACATCGTTGACTCCATAGTCCAAACATTCACTCGTTGAGAAGTCTAATCTTGTTCCCTTTAAAATTAAGAAAATTTTACTTTACTTTTTCCCATCACTTCAAATAAGTGGTCAATCTTATCCTATATCCATTGTGAGCAGAGAAAATTTCTCCTTTTTGTTATTGTCCAAACATATTATAATTTGTTGTGCTGTATATACATACATGATACGTACAGAAACTCGTACTTCTATAATTGTGTGTGTTTTTGTGTGTATAAAGACCATACTACGTCGAGTGCACATTTCTTTTATTTGATCTTAGTTTTTACCCCCCTTTCATCTGCACTCGCGTGATCGTCTTTGCCTTTTCCAGCTTTCTTCTGTCAGATCCCAATTTTTGTTTTTTGGCCTTTAGGGGAAAAAACCTCATTTCAGAGATTGCATTTGTATTTTCTTGGAAAATAAGAAATGTCTGAAATGGGCTGTGGCAAGAACTCGGTTTCTTGAATTTTACTGTAAGTTTTTATTTCTTAGAATCCTAGTAGATTTTATTTCTTTCAATTTCTTATCATAGTTATTAAAAGAGCTGTAATTGTGTTAAAGTCCTTAGGACCTTAGCTGTTGACAAATCTTTTTCAGACTTACTTTTGTTTGTGAGAACATTTTCAGCTTCTCTGCAACTTTTTCCCCTTTGATTCCCTTATAAAGGTTGAAGATAAGACAAATAGATTTTCAAGGCTTCTATCTCTATTTCTTTTCGTCTGCTTCATGATTATTTTTGGCCTAAAGATTTGGTTTGAATCTTGAACATGGAAATGGACTGCTAAAACTGTACGTATTGTAATGTTCAATTTCATAGCCAGTAACTAATTCTATACATGTATCATTAGAACATGTAGCTCTTGAATCCAGTATTATTGTGTATAATCATTCTATGCTTCTTATCTTTTTATTTAGTGATTCTTGAAATTCTTCATGAGCATTGTATTCCATTGTTAATTCGTCAGCCAGTTGATTGCTATAAATTCAGATGATGGCTTGCAACCGTTTCCCTCAATCCCAGCATTCTTTTCAATTTCTTTCAATCTCAATTTCAAAATTCTTTTCAATTTCTTTCAATACTAGCAGTTCGCTGCAATTCCAATTAGTTGCATAAATCTAATTTGCTCTTTGTAGGTTCCCGAATCTTGTGGGTTTTATCTTCCCCTTTTTTGCATCCCCTGTTTGGTGCATTTATCCTGTGTTGATGGAAATTCAGCCATATTTTATTGAATAATTCATCGGTAGCTCTGTGTTTATAAAATTGTGCACCTGGATCAAATAAACTTGGATGTGGATAGATTAGTATACAGATTAATCGCAATTCGGTCTCAATCGCCCTTGGATGAAGGCTTTCTAATCGATTATAACTGTATATTTGATCCTCTGAAACTTTTACAGGCCTGATTTCCTATATATTTCAGATGCATTATGAAGAGCTTGAGGTTATGGGTAGAGGCGTTTGCACTGGCAAATGAAGGAAAGGCAGCGTTGGCGACCTGAAGAGGATGCTCTATTGCGTGCGTATGTGAAGCAATATGGCCCAAGAGAGTGGCAACTCGTATCAGAGCGGATGAACAAACCCTTAAACAGGGACGCCAAATCCTGTTTGGAAAGGTGGAAAAACTATCTTAAACCTGACGTCAAGAAAGGATCTCTTACAGAGGAAGAACAGCGTCTTGTTATCCATCTTCAGGCAAAGCACGGAAACAAGTGGAAGAAAATCGCGGCTGAAATTCCAGGGCGAACTGCCAAGAGACTTGGGAAGTGGTGGGAAGTTTTTAAAGAAAAACAGCAACGAGAACGAAAGGAGAACAAGAAGACTATTGATCCACTCGAAGAGGGAAAATACGAGAATAGCATGTCATTGCTCAAATTGCATTTCTGAGATACTCTGTCAAGTCAATGACAAAATCCCAGTTTTGAGTTATAACCCATAGCATGATGAGAAACTGAAGAAAGGGGCTTAAATTGAAAAGGCTGGATTTCCACGATAAGCTGACTCTTCTTCCAAAATTTGTACCATGAGATTTTGGGCGCACTGATTTCTTTTCTTTACCCCTCTTAATTTTTGGGGGTAATGGAACAATGAATAATTTCAAATTTTAGTCAGTGGATTCTCTTCCAAACAATTATACAACTTCTGGGACTTCTGAAATAACTGAAATGGAGCACACCTAAAGTAATTTGGCCATACCACCAGCAAAAAGCAATTTCCAAAGACTACTTTTCAGCAAATTTCAAAAGCAATCAGAGAGCATCAGCTTTAACAAATTTTGTACTTGACAGACGAGATTTTGCATACATGCTCCAAATATTCTGGCAATTATTGCTGTACAAAGCCCCAAATTGGACACGACTAATTATGGGCTCATTAGACATAGAGAAGCAGGAAGAAAGATGTCTCCAAGGCTCAACATATCGCAATAGATCAGCAATAGTAACAAAGACCAGGGTTCCTACCTTAACACACCTGTGAATATTCATCATCATTCTCGATACAACTTCATTCTAGACCTCAAATAACAAGGTGCATTTTGTAATGTAGTCGTCCAAAGCTGGAGTTTTTAGTTAATTTGCAGGTGTTCTTGATTTCAAATTTGGTAAAATCTGCAAATAACAGGAGCAGGCAATGTACAAATCATAAGGTGCAAGTCATTCACAGACCATAATGCATTCAGGGAATGTTTGGTACATAGAAGTCGACAAGATCAGACAGTAATGAATAAATATGGACTTCTTATTCTTTAATACTGTCCAATACTTTTCAATATACCTGACAAAAAAAACTTTCAGTGATTATGCTGGAACAATATCTGGTCCCAGTGGTGGTGGTCCCAACTGTACAGGCTTTCCAGTAGGAGTGTCTTTAGTTTCTTTTTCTTCTACAAACCCATCCTTGAACCTATCATAGTTTGTAGGTTCACTACTCTTGAAGGGACGCTCTCCGAGTATTCGGACCAAGTCCTCTTGATGTAAGACCTCCTTCTCCAGTAACAATTCAGCAATTTCTGTTATATGCTCTTTATGTTCCTCGATTAGCTGTAAAGTGCGGCCATATGCCTTAGCTACCCATTCTCTTACTTCAATGTCAATTATCGCAGCAGTCTTGCTGCTGTATGGCTTGGTCATCTCCATAGCATCTTCCCTTTGAGGAAAAGAAAGAAGACCAACTTTGTCACTGAAACCATACACTGCCACTTGGGCATAGGTCATCTTCGTGACTTTCTCCAAATCATTTTGGGCTCCTGTTGAGATCTTCCCGATCAAAACCTTCACGAAATGGAAATTTGATCACCACTTATTCCCAACTTTTAATAGACAGATGGTCATAAAAACAGGAGTTCAAAACCGCTAAATGAAATGCAGACTGAGAACTAAAGGGGGGAAGAAAGGGAAAGAAGATGCAGATTACAAGTTCCATGAGACTACGATCAGCTGCCTGTGGTCCCAAAAACTCTTGAATAAGGAAAAGCTTCTGTAAAATGGGACAGGACTCATACTGACTGGTTGAGTATTTATTAACAGAGGCTTCTCAAATGATATTTATACACTGCACGAAAACCTATTGATAAAGGACCCCAAATGTATAGCCTTTCAAAAAAAAATCTGTAAATTGTATTTCTTCAAAATATTAAAAGGAACTTTATTCATGACGGTGAATCCTGATAAGGGAGTCGATGAGGCTAATGCAGTTCCAATTGTTGTCTAAGTAAAAAAAATCAAAGCATAAGGTACATAGTTTCCATGCCATAACTGACAGCTCTCGTAGCAAAGAAATTCCTCTTGCATAGACACTCGCTCACTCCCCTAAAATGAGCTTGAGAATCATATTGTAGATTTAGCCCCCGTTTGGCCCCATTAATTTTCATTTTATTGCATATTATTTTTCTCTCTCATATTTTCAACCGCATAATCTTCCATAAAATAATATTACACGTAAACCAAAAACTTTTCCTTCTTTTTCAACCACTCATTTTTCAAAAAAACCACTATTCCACTCATTTTCTTTTCCAAAAATGGAGGCCAAACGGGGGCTTAATAAATTTTAATGGTCCTACGTCATCTTCAGTACCAATATAACACACTTCATGCAGGGTTCATAAAGAATATCATCTTACAACTCCAGAGATGGCTTCTTTAACAGCTTTCTTACTGATCAAATTGAAAATATACAGATTTCGAACTTGCAAATTAGCACATTTATATCCACATATACACATATGATATAACTGCTTTTATACATTGCAGATTGAAAAATTCCCATGCCTTTCTTGGTTGGACCAGGTGAAATTGACTTCTCTGTAAGTAAAACTGTTGACAAGAATTTATAACTCAATAAACTCTAATGTGGAAGGGGGAAATGCATTCACCTGTTCTGCTGCTCGCCCACCAAGTGTCATGCATGTCATATCAAACAGCTGCTCTTTGGTCATCAAAAGATCTTCATTTGGAACATACTGAGCAAAACCAAGAGCTGCAGTACCACGAGGAACAATTGTGACTTTGAGCAATGGTTCGGCATGCTCCAAAAACCAACCAGCAACAGCATGGCCAGATTCATGGTAAGCAACAGTTCGACGCTCCAGCTTGCTTATAACCTGCAGAAGAGTATGGTTCAATGTCATCTCAAATCACATCCAAACCATTGATCACAACTTAAAGCACGCCTTGTGTCATTTGCTGTTGTACACGTAACACTTCTATTCTCTATTTCTCTTTGTACCAGGAAGAGAGAATTCGTAATTTTTCTTTTACCGTAATAAACCAGTTCTCATCCAGTTTTGTCCAAAATGATTTTTCCTATTAACATGAATCAGTTGAAAAAAGCCAAATATACGAGTATAGATTATAGCTGTAGAAGCGCTTTTAAAATAGTGTTTAGCTAGAATTACTGACAAGTCCTTCAAAAGTTCAAGCAGTTGTAAACTTAAATTTAAAAGATGAAAAGCTCATTTTAATCATTATTCTAATTTACTCAAATCATTAGTTTGCCAATCAAAACTAGATAACCACAAATCAATTTGAAGGATGGAACTGCAAAACATGGTGAAGATCATACAAGATAAGGCGATAAATAATGTATTCCAAATGAAATGAACAGAAAAAGTAGATGACAGGAATACAAGTTACCTTGTTCTTCTTCTCTAGACCCCCAATAACCCGATCTATAGCTGCCTCAAAATTTTGCATTGTAATTAACGTGCTCTCAGTCCTTGCAGCTATCAGTGCAGCTTCATTGCAAACATTCGCAATGTCTGCTCCAGCAAATCCGGGCGTTAAAGCAGCAAGCCTCTGAGAATAATATGAAGGTTCTTTATCAAGTTTCAATTTATTCAGATAGATCCGAAAGATCTGATCACGGCCTTTAATATCAGGCTTATCGATGGTAATTTGACGATCAAAGCGACCAGGCCTTAACAGAGCTTTGTCTAATATATCAGGCCTATTAGTACCAGCAAGTACAACCACCCCAGAGGTAGTTCCAAATCCATCCATTTCCACAAGCAATTGATTTAGGGTGCTTTCCCGCTCATCATTACCACCAGAAAACCCCCCACGCCCTCGTGCTCGACCAATTGCATCAATTTCATCAATAAACACTATACTTGGTGCACACTGTCTTGCCTCTTGAAATAGGCTCCGAACTCTGGCCGGGCCAACTCCAACAAACATTTCCATGAAATCTGACCCAGAAATGGAAAGAAAAGGTACGTCAGACTCTCCAGCTGTTGCCTTGGCAAGTAGCGTCTTTCCGGTTCCTGGAGGACCTACAAGAAGAGCACCTTTTGGAATTTTGGCTCCCAGCTCCTCGTACTTTTTGGGGTTCTTTAAAAAATGCACAAACTCCATGATTTCCTGTTTTGCCTCATCACAACCAGCCACATCTTTAAAGAAAACCTGGATCAACATGTCCACATCATCAAACGGCTAGATAGATAAACATATATTCCTCTTGAAATAGGCTCCGAACTCTGGCCGGGCCAACTCCAACAAACATTTCCATGAAATCTGACCCAGAAATGGAAAGAAAAGGCACGTCAGACTCTCCAGCTGTTGCCTTGGCAAGTAGCGTCTTTCCGGTTCCTGGAGGACCTACAAGAAGAGCACCTTTTGGAATTTTGGCTCCCAGCTCCTCGTACTTTTTGGGGTTCTTTAAAAAATGCACAAATTCCATGATTTCCTGTTTTGCCTCATCACAACCAGCCACATCTTTAAAGAAAACCTGGATCAACATGTCCACATCATCAAACGGCTAGATTGATAAACATATATTTGATAAAATAACAAATAAATAAAAAACTAAATAAAATGAAAAGATGTTTTTACCTTATTTTTGGAATTTTTATCCATTTTAGTGAAATGCGCTTTTCCAATATTAAATATTCCACGTGCACCCTTCCCTCCAGGACCTCCAACACCAAGCCCACCTTGCATTCTTCGTCCCATGTAGAAAAGGGTTCCTAGAAGTAAGACTGTTGGAGCAAACTTCATGAGTTCATGGAACCAGTTCATCTCAGAAACATATGTCACGGGAACATAATTGTGTGGATCTATTCCTAATGCCTCCTGGGCTTCCTCAAGCTTCTCCTCAAAGGATTCAACACTTCCAATAGTAAAATAGTATTTATAGTGGCTCACTTTTCTCTGATCATTGGTATCACCCACAGAGCCTTGAATGGCGTCACCGTTGGTTTGAATATCACGGGGTGGAGAGCTCTTCACGTAAACTTTTGCAACTGATTTGTTGGAAACAACAATATGATCCACTAGACCAGGTTCAAGTAACTTGTTCTTGAACTCTTGGAAACTTATCTAAAAATCAAAGTTAGCTTTCAGCCATTTGTTAAGCAAATTCAACAAGAGGATTGTGTGGATCTATTCCTAATGCCTCCTGGGCTTCCTCAAGCTTCTCCTCAAAGGATTCAACACTTCCAATAGTAAAATAGTATTTATAGTGGCTCACTTTTCTCTGATCATTGGTATCACCCACAGAGCCTTGAATGGCGTCACCGTTGGTTTGAATATCACGGGGTGGAGAACTCTTCACGTAAACTTTTGCAACTGATTTGTTGGAAACAACAATATGATCCACTAGACCAGGTTCAAGTAACTTGTTCTTGAACTCTTGGAAACTTATCTAAAAATCAAAGTTAGCTATTTCAGCCATTTGTTAAGCAAATTCAACAAGAGGAAAAGATAATCTTTAAAGCATCGAGCGATGAAAGATAAAAGCACAAGTTTCACACTGAATGAATGCATCTAGGGTCACATAATTTAAGAATTATATCAAGTAATAAAACAGGCAATCAAATCATGTTACTATCTGGAAGCAAAGATAGAGAAAGAAGAGGTTGGGGAATGACAATGCAAACTCAGACTATATATATTGTAGTACTGAATATGCTAGTCGTTATTGGAAACATATCCTAAAATCAACTCTCTAACATAAAATTTCAATATTACTTACTTGTAGGGGCATGTCATTTATATACAATCAGGGTGGATCCAGAATTTTTTTTGGGGGGGCCAAAAAGAAATAAAAAAATATTAAAGCTGACAAAGCAACAACAGTTCAATAATTTTATTTCAATATAAACTATTATCAATGATAATGAGAAAACAAATGGAAAAAATTGTGATATGGTGGCAAACAAAGTACTTATTAACTGTATAGTAGCATAAAATTGAATCTGCAATTCAAGCAACTGGCAAATTAAGGTGTGGATCATTAATCTAAATATTAGCAAAAATATATATATCAAATGAAGACTTTAAAACATCAGATATAGAAAAAATGCAATTGATTAAGTGACAATATTATCAATATTAATCAATAAATAGAAAAAAGAAAAAAAGAAAAAGGGGGACAATCATCTTTGAAATCAATCACATCCCTTCAAAGAAAAATTAGAATCCTACGCTTTCTTACTGCCCACACAATCACCTTTCGCATATCTATGTTTATCCAATATCATTCAACCTTGGTAAATATAGAAAGGATTGTCAAAATATTATTCACCATGATTTTTTAATTGCAATAGCATAAAAATACAATGATTTTCTGTGTAAATTTTATTTCAGCAATTAAAATTTAAACAAAATAATTAACCATTTAATATTGTATCAATTACTAAAAAAGGGTATAAATGGATATGGACTTTTG